CATTAACTTTTTCACAACAGTCCTATGGGAGAAGTACCATAATTATCCTGAATTGCAGATGAGGAAGCTGAGGCACAGAGAGGGGAAGTGTCTTGCCGAAGGTCACACAGCTAGTAAGTAGTTGAGCCGGGACCATGAACCCTAGATCTGAATCAGGAGTTTAATGAAAAGCCTGTCTAGGAACCATAAAACAGATGACTCCAGAAGCTCTTCCTGGCCAGTGTGATTCAGATTTCCCACATGTTCCTTCCCCGTTGTGAATGGAGACGTGACGCGTACATTCTCCTACCTCGCTTAGATCTCTGCTCACCCGTGACCTTGGAGCCAGGCTCCCCCAAGCGTCTGACTGGGATCCCTCACCACCCCCCTCTATCTCTCCACTCTGTGAATTTTTCTGCCTCCCTCCTGATGGATTGTACATTTCATTGTTCACTGTATGCCTTCCCTTGCTTGCCTGTAAGCTCCACGAAAAAGGCAAGGCTTTGCCTGCTTCCTTCTCTGTTCTAGAACAGTGCCTGGTATACCGCAGGTGTTTAGTAAATATCTGTTGGACAGAATTTCAGATCGTGGTGGGGGCTGGGGGATGTACATATTCTCTCTTGGGCGGGGCCCGAAGAGTATTTTCCTGGGAACTTTGTAACAACAGTATCATCGGGTTGTTGCCGTGGGTCAGAGCGTGGGGTTGGTTTTATTGGGACTTTCAAAGGGTCTGTGTACCATGTACATCAGAATCTCTGCTATTGCTTATTAACAATGCAATTTCTCAGAACTTATTCCAAATCTACTGGATCAGAATTTCTGCATACAAGGGAGGGAACCGGGGATGTGGATTTTAACAACTTCCTGGTGATACTGACAGATCCCCAGCCTGAAAGGCCTGATCTAGCTTGTGGCAATGCCCATGATACACACACATTCTATGGATCTGACCCCCGAAATGAGTAATACACTATCTGTTAACTAACTTGAATGTAAATAAAAATCTAAAAAAAAAAAAATTAAACGGCTCTGAACTACTCTACAAAAAGACTTCACTTTCCTATTTCTTCAGATGCCCAACAAATAGGTCATGACAGAGACAGACAGTGGCATCTCTGAAGGTCATACGTGGGAAGAGAGAGGCAGTGAGGACCAGTGCCACCCCAAGCCAGGGCTCTGCGGGTGTATAAACCGGGCTGGTAGGCATGGCTGTGTACCAGACTCGGGCTGGACCCCTCCCAAACCTTCCCGGGTGACTGGGTCATATTAGGCTCATGCCTCACTTCTGGGTCCGGACAGGACAGCATGTTAGACTTGGTCAGGAAAGAATCCAACACCTAGAAGGTGGAGAGAATTTCAATTCCCGTACATTCCTGGTCCAGCTGCAGACCAACCATTATGGAAACTTAAACCAGGAAGGCACCTGCTTGGTAAGATTGTGGTGACTTCGTCCAGGACACGCGGCACCTCTCCCAATCGGGGTGGGGCTGCAGGGCTGAAGTGAGCACTACTCACCAGGCATCACACCTTTGATGTCACTCTCAGGGTTCATGCAGTTCTTCTGCGTGAAGTGCAGGATCAGCTTCTTTGCAGCCTCAAACTGCTGCGTAGCCATCAGCCACCGCAGGGACTCGGGGAATATCCTTCAAAGACACAAAGGGAATGGGTGAATGTCTTCGGTTCTGTAGGGCGTCAAGAAACACAGCCCCGGGACATCTAGGTGGCTCAGTCGGGTAAGCGTCTGCCTTCGGCTCAGGTCATGATCCCAGGGTCCTGGGATGGAGCCCTCCATCGGGCTCCCTCTCCGCGGGAAGCCTGCGTCTCCCTCTGCCTGCCGCTGCCCCAGCTTGTGCTCTCTCTCTGACAAATAAATAAAATCATTAAAAAACAAAAACAAAAACAAAAACCCACAGCCTCTGTCCTGGGCCTGGAAGCTTCACAGGTGGGTGGCATCCACTTCCCACCCACGTGAAGTAATGGCCAGTGAATGCTCAGGACGCTCATGAGCCGAACCAGAGAAGCTAAACTGTGGGCAGGGGAAGGGGTCTAAATTTTTTTTGAGAAAGTATAAAAATGATGACTTTCAAAACGCGGCAGATAGGAACAACAATCCTACCATTTGTGTCAAGAAATCAGTGTAAACTTTTCACTAACTATGGATTTCTACAGCAGGTTTAAGGAGTTTGTTGAAGGGCTGCTTTTGTTATATTTTGTCACAAAAACCAAGTATTAGAAGAATGATTTTAAGTTTAAAAAAAACGCCCCATGTGAGCAACCGGACAGTTATCTTCAGTTTTCGATCATGTGAAGGCTTTCACAGGACTTACCTATAGAATTACTTTCATCTTGCTGCTAACTGCATGTCACATCTCTCTGAAGTGACACCACATAACACAGCAAGTTTCAAGTTTTATAAGCCAACAGATTCCTTGTTTGTGTTTAGAATGAGACCTTGTAAGGAGTCCCAATTTAAAAAAAAACCACGAGTGTTTTACTATCAGTGCATTTTGTAAGTTTACTTTTATGACAGTATTTACAAGTCAATCAAAGAGAACAGGGTGCCTGTCTGGAGCAGGGGTTAGCTCACTTCTCCTGGACAGTATCAGTAAATATTTTAGATTTTGCGGACCTGCGAGGTCTCTGTGGTTAACTCCTCAACTCTGCCATGGGCCCGAACAGCCACAGACAACTCGTGCAGGAACAGGTGTGGTCGTGTTCCTTTTGAACTTTCCTATAGAAGAGGGGCCACCCCTAATAGGGAGGAAAGTAAGAGCTGGAAACCAGCCCCCCCCCACCCTCTAGTCATCACCATATTTTATTTCGGTGATATAGTATCAAGAAATCATGACTGATGTGGCTAAGAAGTTAGCATTGCAACTACCCCTCAGCAGCCCTGCAAGCTCTGGAGAGCCTCTAATTAAAGTAATCCAGAAGCTGGCTTGTAAATCTTCCGTTTGTTCATGCGGGATCCCATACGCAACAATGAAATCAAGCTTATTTTCCGTGATGTACTTTCTCTAAGCTGTCTGATCAAGTTACTGAGCACTGAGAAGTGGGTTCAGCTGCTCCTCTGATTGTAGATTTTAGGTCCTGGTTTGGGTGGAGCCCTCCAGGCGCGGGCCACTCTGAGCAGCTGGGCCCCTGGTGGGTGATGGCAGGGGCCTTCTGTGTGGATCAGAGGTGCTTCTATAAACAATGCTGGGGAGGCTGGATAGACAGCCTCAGTCCAGCCCAGAAGCATCCCCAATTTCCAGATGCCCCATAGGACAGCCCACATCATGGCAGGCCACCTGCCATGGCCCTTGACTACTGGGCCCAGTGAGGGTCCGCATGGCTATGGCCTGAATACTGGACCCGGGAGCCCCCTGGACTTCGGGGTGCCTTTCGGCAGGGGGCCCTATTGCCAACACCAGTTGCCGAGCTGCCGCCTTCTTCAGCCGGGCACGTTCACAGGTGGTCCAAATATGCTTAGCCGCTTTGGGAGAATCTCTTTAAAGGCACCTCAGAAAACCAGCTCATATATTCCTCTGACAGCACAAGATGTTTTGCAGGTGATCTCTGAAGTGTAAAATATGGTCTACAACACGAGAAAGTTTGGGGTCCTTTTAAAAGTAATTTAAAGTAATTTACATCAAATGTTTATGGAACAAACTCCACAGCAGGGAACAGAATTTGAAAATCAAGACCATAAAGGTGCTCAATGCAGGAAGAGCAAGGCCCAGAGCCCAGCAGGTGGGGGGGCGGGGCAGAGCTCAGCTCTTCCCAGGTTTCAGAGCCACAGACAGAGACCAGGGTCCCATGGGGAAGGCGTCATGTGCGATCTGGTGGCCCATGGGCTCTCGGGTCTCAGGGATGCTGCCCTACTCCTGACGGCCCTGTCACCCTCTATCACTCATTTTTTTCTCACCCCCAAATCGTGCTTAAAGACAACAGACTTTGGATAACTAAAAATCGGTAAGAAGAAATAAACACCCTTATGAGAAATGACAACGAGCAAGTTTCTTCCTAGAGAATCTTTGAGAATGGCAAAGCTTGTAAAAGAGGGCTCAAGGACAGCACCATTTGCAAAGGCATGCCATGATCTTCGGATTTAAGAAGTGGGTGCGGGTCTCTTTTGGAGCTCAAACATTCTGTCACCAGATTATTTTTTTCTAATATGTGTTGATGCATCCCACATGGATACATCCCTGACCTCAACCTAAGAGTCCTCCAACATAGGAGGAGATCTCTATACATAAATAGGTAGATAGAAAACTAAAGTAAACACACACACGATTTACCAGTGATTTGGATAGAAGTCTGTACAGTATGTGACACAAGTGGGGCCAAGAACCAGAGTGGGCAGTTGTAGGAAAGGGGTGCCGGGGAAGACTTTGGAGGGTGGTGGTATGCTTGGCCTTCTCGGGAGATGGGCAGGTGCAGCATGTAGTGGGGTGTGTGTGAAGACGGGATCCCGAGAAGAGGCGCAGGGCCATGAAACAGCATGTGTCTGGGGGGCTGCAAGCTGGTAAAACGGGCATGCTGGGTGTGAGCTGAGAAGAGATGAGGAGAGGCAGAGACGCAGGGCCCAGGTAGTGGAGGCTCCTGAGCACCACGGAGTCTAATGAGTGGTAGCCATCCAACCAGAAGGAACTGCAATGAAGACACAGCGCTCTCCCAGAAGATTTGGACATGAGAACAAGGGCTGACTCCCATTAGCCACCCAGCCCTGCTTCCGGTGGCCAAGAGCATCGCAAACTGCCTTCCCTAGGACTGGATTTACAACCACCAGGCACTCTTCCGCATGGTTCCCACGTATGGAATACTTTCAAGCTTGTGATGGGGTAGTGATATTACTCCCATTTCACAGATGAGAACACTCAGGCACAGAACGTTCAAGTACATCGTGTAGATTCCAGAGCCGGTAAGTGGCAGAGCTTAACTGAACCCAGGCAGTCTGCCTCAGCAGCCCATATCCTGAACCTTGGTGGATGTGGCAAAGAAACCTCACACGCCCAGACAGCGCTCAGGTGACAGAAGCTCGGGATGTACTGTTCTAGCGATGCTTCCTCGGGTGTTCCAGAATGCCACAAGCCCAGAGGGTGCTTGCATGGAATGATGAAGTTTTATGAGGCCTACCACATACTTAAAGTTTACTACAAAGCCATAAAGAATTCGCTGGACTATCGGCCTAGGAGAAAGCCCACAGATGGCTTTCTAGTTTGGATAATGGGCCGTGTGGCCATATTATGGGAGCTTAATGAAATCTCTTCTGACAAGTACATAATGTAATAACACCATGCAAATTAAAAAGCCAGCCAACAGCCCAGGACCTAGGAGGAATGTAGCAGAACCTTAGAGAAATCCATCATTTTCAGCAAAAATAAAAGAGCACGGTGGGCAGCAGGAGGCTGCGTCTGCCTGGTGCACCCTCCCGTGCAGATGGTAAGAAAGTGCCCTTGAGGGTGACTTCTGCAACCACGCCAGGTACCCAGGCATAAAAGCCACAGTGGCTTCTCTGGGAGGTAGTTCTGCAATGGCCTGCGCCTGTGGCTCTGGGAAAAGGAAGCGTCCACAGGGCCAATGGCTTGCCTCAGCCCACAGGAGCCGAGCAAGACATTTCGAAAGCTGGAAGGATTTAATTCTTTCAAGCTTGCTATGTGGTAGTATTATTATTATCCCTCTTGTTCAGATGGGGAAACCGAGGCAAAGAAAGTACAAGTATCTGGCCCAGATGACACAGCTCTCAAGTGGCAGAGCCGCATTTGAACCCACGACTAGAGAGATGTTCAGGCTGTGATCACTCCAAGCCAGGTGGTTCCATGAGCCCTAGGGCTTCTGCTGGAAGGATGTGGGCAAAGCTCCACTCTAGCTGCTCCGGTCCTAACCCCCACACAGCAAGCGAGCGTAGAGCGAGTGAGGGCGGAGGAGGAGCAGTGCCGGGCAGACACCTCATCTCTCCCCTGCTGAGGATCACAGGGCTGATGGGCCTCTCGGCCCGAGGCAGACGATGGATTGTTCTGAGACCTTCTCCAAACTATGTTCGGGATGGTTAGAAGGTCCATGATCCCGTAGTCACAATTCCAGAATCCCAAAGGTTCTGAAATCCCAAAACCTCGCTGCTTAACTCACTTGGCAATGAGACGGGCGCTGGCTTGACCTCGCCGGAGGCAGAACCAGACCGAACGGATGTGAGCATTTTGAGTCTTCAGGCACTGCTCCTCCAGAACGCACATACATTTCACTGCAGAAGCATCGAGTATCCGATGCTGAGTAGCTGAAGAAGACGGGACGGGGCTTGGACACTTCAGAATCTGGGACAGGCGATGGTGGAGCTGCACGCGGACCATGCAGGCGGCGTCTGCCGAGCACCTGCCTGGAGTGGGCCGTGCAGGCGGCGCTCTGTCCACTCACCCGACGGTCTCAGTCAGAGGCGAGCCACCGTCCGCACTGCGCTACGGCTGGGGATGCTGGATCAAAGCCTTCGGCTATGGAATTAATTTTTCATTAAGCAAATCACAGATCAATCCATTCTCTACTTAAAAATGAAAGTAGGGGCACCTGGGTGGCTCAGCCTGTTAAGCGTCCGACTCTTGGTTTTGGCTCAGGTTGTGATCTCGCGGTTGTGGGATCGAGCCCCGTGTCAGGCTCTGTGCTCAGTGCA